GTTCCAGCATAATTTGTTGGAAAGACTATTTTTTCCCCATCAAATTGTCTTGGTGCCCTTGTTTAAAATTAATGACTTTATATATAAGAATTTATTCCTGCACTGTCAATTCTATTCCATTGATCTATACATCCTAGCCTTATGTCAGTACTACCCTGTTTTGATGTAGCTTTATATTAAGTCTTGAAATCAAGATGTGTGAGTTTTCCAACCTGGATCCTTTTCAAGATTGGTTATTCTAGGTCCCTTGGATTTCCATACGAACTTTTAAGATCAACCTGCCAATTTTCATTAAAAAGGCAGACAGAATTCTGATAGGCACTGCTTTAAATCTGTACACCAATTTAGGGAGTATTGTCATCTTAATAATATTAAGTATTCTGATTCATGAACACAGGATTTCTCTCCATTTACTTAGGTCTTCTTTAACTTCTATGATGTGTTATAATTTTCAGTGTTTACATCTTGCACCTTTTGTTAAATATATTAATATTTCCTTTTTAATGCTATTTGAATGAAATGTTTTTAAATTTTCATTTTTAGATTATTCATAGCTAGTATATAGAAATGCAGTCAACTTTTGTATATTTGATCTTACATCCTGCATTATTGCTGAATCATTTATTACTGTGAATAATTTTTTTAGTGGATTCCTTAGGAATTTATGTGTACAAGATCATGTCACCTGCAAATAGGGAGTTTTACTTATTTCTTTACAATCAAGATGTGTCTTTTTTCTTCCCTGATTACCTTGGCTAAAACATCAAGTACAATGTTGACTAGAAGTGGCAAGAGCAGACATCTTGTTTTATTCCTAATCTTAGAAGGAAAGCATTCAGTCTTTAGCCATTAAGTGGGATGCTAATTTTGAGTTTTTCATAGATACCCCCTATCAGGGTAAAGAAATCTCTTCAGCCGGGCTCGGTGGCTCAGCCTGTAATCCCACGCCTTGGGAGGCTGAGATGAGTGGATTGCCTGAGCCCGTGGGTTTGAGACCCGCCTAGGCAACTTAGCAAGACCTCATCTCTACAATAAATCAAAAATCAGCCAGGCGTGGTAGCGTGCGCCTGTAGTTCCAGTTACTTGGAAAGCTGAGGCGGAAGGATTGCTGGAGCCCAGCAGGTCGAGGCTGCGGTGGCTGGGAGCAGCCACTGCACTCCAGTCTGGGTGACAGAGTGAAACTCCAACTCAGAAAAAAAAAAAAAAGAAATCTCTTCTACTCTTAGTTTTTTGAGTTTTGTTTTGTTTTTTAATCAAGAAAGGATTTTAGATTTTGTCAAATGCTTTTTCTATATCGCTGTGAAGTTCATAATTTTGTCCTTCTTTATGGCTGCATAACATTCCATTGTGTATATGTATCACATTTTTTAATCTAGTCCTCTTTTGATGGGCAACTCAGTTGATTCCATGTTTTTGCTATTGTCAACAATGCTACAATAAACGTGCCTATGCAAGTATCTTTTTCATAGAGTGATTTGGGTTCCTCTGGGTATATTCCCAGTAGGGGGATTGCGGGTCGTGTGGAAGGTCGATTTTTAGTCTTTTGAGAAATCACCACACTGCTTTCCATAGCGGTTGAATTAGTTTACATTCCCATCGACAGTGTAGAAGCATTCTCTTTTCTCTGCAGCCATACCAGCATCTGTTTGTTTGGGTTTTTTTTTTTTAACTTATTAATAATAGCCATCCTTACTGGTGTTAAGTGGTATGTCAAGAACAAAATCATGAACTTCACAGCAACCTGGATGGAACTAGAGTCTATAATACTGAGTGATCTTTCACAGCAACAAAGATCTGAGTATCACACGTTCTCACTCATAAGTGGACCTTGAACATCTATCGTAATACC